TTGCCATGAACGAGGTAGTAGTCATAGCCATACTGAAGTCATGGCACGCCAAGTATATATGCTGTTGATTCAGTTTAAGGTCCGTGTTTCAGCAGTTATGGGACCACTGTGCATGCGAGTTTCTGGGCAGTAGCAGGCCAACTCACCACGTGCTTTTCAGGGCTTCCCTCCACTACAAACGTGCAAAACTAGAATGAATCTTCTGCTAGAACATGGAACCATACGCCGCCATATGTTTTGTCTTTTGTGAAAGTGGTGACGAGTGAACCAAGGCCCTTAGGGCCAGTTGTCGTAGGAAAAGGAAACAAAAGAAAGAGAGGAAGGAATCTTCTGCTAGAACATGGAACCATATGCAGCCATATGTTTTGTCTTTTGTGCTGGTGACGAGTGGAGCAAGGCCCTTAGGGCCACTGCTCGTAGGAAAAAGAAACAAGAGAAACAGAGAGCTACGGTAGTAAGTAGTTGTAGCTTGTAACCCATAACTGCTGGAAAGCAGACCTGACTTCGGATCCAGAACATATATTGCTGGCCTGCTCCTCTTTCATACGAAATTTGCTGAACATCTCTTGAGATGTTGGGACCCTTGCATATGCACTGCTGGGGTCCTCCGCGAAAAAAGACTATTCAACAAGGAATACGTGGGACCAATTTTTTTTTCTGTGGGGAGGTGCACCATTGGCTACCTCAGCCAGCCTTCTCCAATTTTTTTTTAATATCCTATTAATTGGGGTGCGTCGCATCACGTGCATGTGCATGCTTACACGTGCGTTATGCGCCGCACGTGTGGAGCTCGCGCGCACGCGATACACCGCAGGTATGGGTTGGAGTATAGGGGGAGTATAGGGGTGATATAGGGGATATTGGGGGGTTTAATAAGGATGTTGGGGGCGGTTCGGGAGTGTTAGGTTGGTGTATGCGGGTATTGGGGGCCGCTATGGGGGTGTGGGTGGGGTTATTAGGGGTTCTGGATCCCCCCCCAAAAAAAAAGAAAAAAAGTGCGGGGTGCCGATGATCCCCGACTGCTAGGTGCCGACCAGCCGATCGGTCGGCGGGTCGGCAGCCGACCAGTCAAGGGCCGCCGACTGTCGGGGGGTGCAACCCTGCTTGTATTTATTTTTTTCTTGAATTTGGTTGTGAATTTCGACATGGCCCTCAGGCAAAAGTTTTGTATTGCAATGTCTTACAACTTTCCTTTTTTTTTTCTCGGAATTTTTCTGAGCTTTTGAAAAATTGAAGTTCGCAAAAATTCAAATACAACGTACGTCAAGGCAAACCGGACTCACAATTAAGGACAAGGACGAGCAATAGAACACTGAGCGGACCCCCCCACTCTTCTCGCATTGCAGGGACTCATTCGAC